ATACTATGATGATACTTGGTGTGCATGAGCCCCTTGTTTGCAGTTAGTTAAAACATCATAAAAACATTTGAAGTAAACCTTTACACCCATGTTCTCCTTTAGCTTTATCTATACCCATTGTACAGTCACATGTGCTATATAACTATTAGACTTATTTAATTTTTTGGTTTGTAGTTCAAGTAAACCACATTGGAGGCTTAACTTCATAGATTTGTTGAGAAATGAATTTATTTTTATTTTGAATCTTAAGGAGATGAGCTACTTAAAACCTCAGCTTACATACTCTAAATGATAGATAGGTATCTGACTGGTTTTCATGGTGATGGACAAATATCTGGGGAAGAGAATCTCACTCAAATATCAGTGTTGGGAAAGGGGCCATTAATCATGTCAGACCTATGGATGTGTTTGAACACAGCAGATAGTCAGGCAGCCACACACAGTGCTGATTGTATAAGAGGAGTCTAGGGGAAGAAATGGTTGTGAAAAGTTTAGGAGCATAATTTGATATTTACAGGGGGGAGAAGAGGAAGAGAAGATAGGGTAATTTAGTGAATATAAGTAAACCAGGCTTGAATAGAAATGTCATAATGAATCATCTTACTTTGTATAACTCAGATACATTAATAAAAAATGAGCAGTAAAAAAAACCTCGGCCTACTGAACAGGGAGAGATGAAGACACAAAAGCTCTCTAATGATGTGAGCTTAAAGCAAAAGAAGATAGGCATAAAGACACCAAATGAGGTAGAAATGCATACTCAGTGTTCACTGACGTTTGGCAGAGAGCATCAAAGAAGAGACAGAATGGCCTAAAAGAAGACCATTTGGTAAAGGGACTAAGACTGGGTTGATACTTAAAGAAAAAAATACCAAGGGGAGTCATGATTTACCAAATGAAACTTTATTCTCTCTAAAGTTCTTCATACAGGTACATCCAATGGAAACAGAAAACCAAACCAGAATCTCTGAGTTTCTCCTTCTGGGCTTCTCAAGTTGGCCAGGGCAGCAAGGGCTCCTCTTTGCACTCTTCCTGTGTCTCTACTTAACAGGACTATTTGGAAACCTACTCATCTTGCTAGCCATTGGCTCAAACAATCATCTCCACACACCCATGTATTTTTTCCTTGCCAATTTGTCCTTGGTAGACCTCTGCCTTCCTTCAGCTACAGTGCCCAAGATGTTACTGAACATCCAAACCAAGTCTCAATCTATCTCCTACCCTGGATGCCTGGCTCAGATGTATTTCTGTATGATGTTTGCTAACATGGACAATTTCCTTCTTACTGTAATGGCATATGACCGTTATGTGGCCATCTGCCATCCTTTGCACTATTCCACCATTATGACCCCATGCCTCTGCACCTCTCTGGTGGCTTTGTCTTGGGTCATTGCCACTTTGAATCCTCTCTTGCATACTCTCATGATGGCCCAACTGCATTTCTGTTCTGAAAACATCATCTACCATTTCTTCTGTGACATCAATTCTCTCCTCCCTCTCTCTTGTTCTGACACCAGTCTCAATCAACTGATGGTTTTGTTTGTGGTGGGACTGATCTTTGTGGTACCATCAGTGTGTATTTTAGCATCCTATGGTCGCATTGTCTCTGCTGTGATGAAAATTAATTCTATTCAAGGAAAACTGAAGGCATTCTCAACCTGTGGATCTCACCTTGCCTTAGTTGTTCTCTTCTATGGTGCCATCGCAGGAATCTATATGAGTCCTTCATCCAGTCATTCAACTGAAAATGACTCAGCTGCATCAGTGATTTTCATGGTTGTAACCCCTGTATTGAATCCCTTCATTTATAGCTTAAGGAACAGTGAGCTGAAGGGGACGTTTAAAAAGATTCTTGGCCAAAGCAAGATGCTTTCCCAGTGATTTACACTTCTCTGAGAGGAGTCCAATGGGCAGGAAAGCCAGCTGACATCATTATTTTTATTGTCAGTTTAAAAGCTATCATTAAATACTTAATGAAACTTGTCATCAACCTCAATTTGCTACATAATCTAAAACTGACATAACCACAGATCTTATCCATTTGAGCACCATAATATGTTATTGCTGCAGACAAATATGCAGATCTTAAATCCCTGAAAAATCACAATAAAGTATGAAATCAACATTTGACTGTATCATTAAGGCGTCCAAATTACCAGGTGTGATGGTGCACACCTGTAATCCCAGAACTCAGGAGACAGAGGTAGAAGGATAATTAAAAGTTTGAAGCCAGCCTGGTCTATATATTGAGTTCCAGGCCAGGTTATATAATGGAATCTTCTCTCCAAAAAAAGGGAAGGAAGGAAGGAAGGAAGGAAGGAAGGAAGGAAGGAAGGAAGAAAAGAAAGAAAAAAGCTAACATTCCAAATTAACAGAGGTATATGCCACAGGAGGTACAGAATTACTCCTTTCCCCTGGACTCAATGCCTCTTATAGTGGGCAGAAGTGACAGAAGTATATAAGCAAATTGTCCTGAATGAAAAAGCATTAAAAGATAAAGACACTATTATGAAAGGCTCATTTTGGAAGGACAATATGAACTCAAATGATGAAGAGATTGGTGAGGCCAAAGAAATCAGGTGAAGTTGCAAAAGACAGCACTTAATCTGAATCATCAAGAAGCCAAAAAGGAAATATTTAATACATTGGCAGAAAGAGTTCGAAACCTATGAAGCAACAAACGTAGTATCTATAATGTACACTCATGGTAGCCATCTTTACACAGGAAAGCATGTAGGCAAGATGTGTAGGTAGGAGCATGGCATTTAAAAATAATGATGTTGAATAAAGTAACCTGTATGGAGTGAAAATTCACCTAAGAGATTGATGAAAATGGCTATTGGATAGTCATTAGGGTGCTTTATATTTACTTTATATATTTATACTTTATAAATATATACTTTATATAAATATATACTTTATAAATATATATTTATATTTTATATATGCTTTACATATTAGGATGCTATACATTCTTGGATGATGTTACACACATCTTTCTATAACTGCTTCATTTTCATGTATAAAAATGCAGAACTTGGGCAAGGGTCTCATGGAGCCCAACACTTAGGAGGCAGTGGCAGGAGGATCTTTGTGAGTTCAAGACCAACCTGGTCTATATATATGGTGACTCATGTTTGTAATCTCAGTACTAGAGAGACTGAGGCAGGAGCATCAGGAGTTTAAGGCAAGCCTGGGCTACAGAGTGAGTCTGTGAACAACTTGAGCTACATGAGACCCTATGTCAAATGAATTAATGAAATAGATATTGATACAACTCATTGTTAAAAGTTTAAAGAAACCAATAGAAAAATAAACAAAGATATGAACAGTTATACCATAGTAAGAGAAATACATAGAAAGGAAAACATATTTTGAGACAGGCTCTCACTACATGGCCGTGGCTTGCCTGGCACTCATTATGTAGACTATACTGGCCTCAGACTCACAGAGGTCTGCCTACCTCTGTCTCCTGAGTGCTGAGACTAAAGACATGCACATCACATCCCACTAGCAAAAAATATTTTAAGCACCTAGTTTCATTAGTAATCATAATAATTTATCATACCTATTTAATTCAAATTAATAAATCTTTCAAGCCAATCATTGAAGAGTACTAATAAATAGTATTGCATAAGCCTGAGCAATGGGATCACAAATTAGACAGACATTCTGTAAGAGACAAGGTTTCCTACTCATATATTCCACCCAGTAATTCTACTCCTTGAAGAAATGCTTCTGCATACATTACAAGAAGATTCATAGAAGCAGATGTTCTGTATGTACATACACTGATCTATGATAGCCACTCTTTCTATTTGAATTGAGTGAGTATATTAATGACACCACCCCCCATCCACTTCCCAGGGAGGGTTCCCATGAGTGTTCTTAATGTGGGCAAAATTTGTCATCATTTAAAAACTCCAACCAACTTAAACTCTAACCAAAGAATATGAGTAAAATAGTCCCTTCTAATTTAGTTCAGTTTTGAAAGAAGAATCAACTGTTACTTCAAAAGGCTTTAACCTGGTGTGTTGTCTTATGTTTATAATCCCAACACTTAGGAAGGCAACGCAGGAGATTTGCCCTGAATTTGAGTCCAGTTAGGGTTATAAAGAGACTCTGTCTTTAAAACAAAAAGAGAAAAAGAAAGAAAGGAAGGAAGTTAGGAAGGAGGAAGAGAAGAAGGAAGGAAGAAAGGAAGGAAGGAAGGAAAAGAAAGAGAAAGACAAGCCCTTTCGTTGTTTCATTTGTGACCTGTGACCCAAGCTTGCCGATTCCTGATTGAACGCTACCTCTACCATCTGTTCTAGATTTTCGCTTGGTCATTCAATATATGACATTAGGCAAGACATTCAAATTTCTTCTGCCTCATTTCCCCCATATGAGAATTGAAACCCACCAGCTCTGTTTTGACAACTTAAAATAGATAATAAATCATTTTGAAAGTAAAAAGTAAACGAATGTTGATTGTTTACCTCCCGCCGTTACTAATAACCTAAATATACTCTTTAGATCTTAAGACGGGGTGTAGTTATTTTGTGAAACTTTTGTTTTTTCCAATGGTAAGAGTATCAGTCAAGGGGAAAGCAGTGGTCACTGTGAACTGTACTGTAAAGGCTTACATTCTTTAATTTGAAATGAATGTTGGAAACGGAGTTATTCATAAGCATTAACAGGAATCTAAGCACAGGTAATTTAAGTGGAATAAAGAGAAATTCGTTAGGCATAGAAAGCGCCCTCCTGAACCCAGCCGAGATCTGTCATCGGCCACCCAGCCCTTACCCTCGCCAGCTAAAGTCCGAGGCTGGCCAGGCGCAGAAGTTTTGACACTCCTCGGAATGTCCACAGTTCCCAGCAGCAACAGCAAAGCCATCCATCCACCTGGAGCTGCTGACAGCCAGGAGGCGCGGCGCTCCATCCCTTCGCCGGCCGACCATAGAGCTGTCAGACCTCCGTGCTTCCTAGAGAGCTTCCGGAAGTGGCTGTGGGGCAAGATGCGCGCTGGCCGGTTCTGCGGCTCCGAGGGTTTGGAAGTTAACGGCTGGAGGGGTCCCGCCCGGGATCGGCGTCTGTCGCATCTCCTCGCGCGCTGCCCGGTCCGCGCTGTGCCGCCTTCCGCCCTCGGGCAGCGTGCGGAGCTCTCGGTGAGTGCGCTCGGCCGAGCAGGGGCGCGCGGGCTGCGGAGGCCGAGCGCGGGGAGCGGGTCCGCAGAGGGCCTGCGCCAGCTGAGCAGGCCGACCCCGGCCCCAACTTCCTACGGGGTCCCTCTTTCATCGCCAGTCGCCGTGTGCTGTAGTGCAGCCGCTCTTATTTGCAAAGCCGGCCCGTGTGTCAACTGTTTCTACTCAACAATTTTGCCTTTCGGTCTCAAAATTCATTTTTTAAAGATACTTTTTTTGTTTTTGAAGCCTCTGCTACTCGCGGAAAACTCTAATTTTGTTGTTGTTACTCCTTGTTTTCTGCTCAGAAAATGGTTGATGTGCTAACTGGGCATTTGTGTGCAATCCCGGGGTAACAAGATTAAACCGAATTCAGAATACTTTGTTTACTTAATTTATTAAAGCTAACTGAAATAGATGCTTGAAAACTCCGTGGGTTTCCAAAACTCAAGTCGGGGTTGAGTAATCTGTGTCAGACTTCTAAGATGTTGGCCACCACTTGAGAACATACTTTCTGTTTGACAAATACACTGAATTTGCAGCAGTCATTATTTTAGTGAAGGAGCACGTTTTGAGTTCCTCTTGTGGTTAAATATAAGAATATGGTAAACCTTAAAAGCATTCATCAAAGCAACACCCTTGAGGAGGTCATACCCACACTTGTTTCTGGCCCTCTCCTAAGTGCTGTTTCTCTTAACCCCCATGCTTAAGCCTCTATTAAAATAAAATTTTAAAAATTCAGTGAATTCAATTTGACATAACTACAAAGCAAAGTGTTTGTTTCTTTTACTTTTCCTTGATTTCTAAAGCCTGGAGATTGTCTCTCCTGGTTTGCACTCAGTAACAAGACATTTCTCAAGTTCAACTTAATCTGAATGGAAAATACTTCTACATTTATTGAAAAGTCAGTATTATTCAAGTTGAGTTGTCCCTTCTTAGTTGTAAGGACTTTAACATTTTAGATCCAGAAGAAGTAAGATTGTTGCCTTTACCTTCATAAGTCGATAAACCTGACTGGATGTTCTTTAAGGATAATATGTAAGGGTCAGTGTTTATCTATTGATGCTTACCAACATTGCAATTTATATGCACAAAATTACTGGAGGGAAGAATACCTAGAGGACTAATTTTTCACTCAACTCTGGATTTAATATTGAGGGGAAAAAACTTACTGGAAAAGAAAGATATTTTTTTAAAAAATAATATTAGTCATTAAAAATAATGAAAGGGCTCTGTTCCGCTGGGGCAGACAGGACTTTTCCTGTCCCCCCTCTCTGTCTCTTTACCTCTTCTTTCTTTCCTTTCCCCCTCCCTTCTCTTTCTAACAAAATTTCTCACTTTAAAAAAAAATGAAAGGGCCATGTATATTGATGCATGCCTGTAATTGCATGCAGTACTTAGGAGACTGAGGTTGAAACCAGCTTGAGATATAGAGTGAGAGATTTGTTTTGTTTGGGGAGGATGAGTAAGGTTCACTTATGCCACAGTGCCCTAGTGGAGATCAGTGGACAACTTGCAGGAGTCAGTCCTCTCCCTCCATGATGTGGGTCCTGGGAATCTAAACTCAGTGTTGTCAGGCTTGGTAGCAGGTGCCTTGACCTCCTGTCTTGCAGACCCCTGTGTCTCTTTAATAGTAGACCAGCCATACTGAATTAAGGACCCATCTTACTCCAGTTATAACTTAATGTTAATTTGATTATATCTGCCTACTATTTGCAAATAAGTTTACATGAACAGTTTTACAATCATATTTGCTTCCTTAAGGTAATAATAATTAGAATAATTGCAGGTTTGTTCCTTTACTTCATTCTCCTTCTGTCCCCCAATGTTCCCACCCATAACCATTACCTACATAGTTCATAGCTCTAATGTTAAAAGCATAAGCAGTATAACAAGCAGTAAAGCAAGTTTTCTAACTAGGAAAACTTACAGGTAGAACAGTGTATCCAGTTGGCAGCATTTGCAGTTACAGCATCATGCAAAATGAAAAAGAATTTTAGCTTCTATTGGTTAATGTTTACCTCTAATCAAATCTAAACTCTCACAATCAACTTATCAGCCAAGGCTGAGTCACTTCATTCTTCATTCTCTATTACTCTATCTCCAATCATCCTATAAACTACACAACTTAAAAGCTTACTCTTAGTAGTTGACACTCTTGTCTCTTGTTCTCATGTCCCCTTCCTCTCAGCTTCCTACAGTGTTGTCTCCTACAGTATTGGCACAGTTATAGAAATGAGGGCATTGTAAGTTCCTGTGAGTCTGCTTCAGTCCCTGTTCTTAGACTCTTCCCATTAACTCTTAATAGCATCTATTCATTTGCATTACTCTTAGACTCTTGTAGCTAGAATCTTTCTCTCCAGGACAGTTATACAAAGTTTTTAATATTGTCAGGAACTTCTGTGACTCTTTCAGGCCAGCCACAAGGTGTGCAACATCGTGTTCTTGGTCACACCTGAAGCATCAAAGACTTTAGAAGCTGAATCAGATCCACTATATATTTTTAACAACATCTCCTTTGGCTTACCAGAAGAGAGTCATTAGGGGAAAGTTTTCCTAATTCAATAGCCATGTCATGTATGGTTTTAAGAAAGTGGAACTAGGAGCAGCCAGCAATATCATTTGTGTAAGGAGAGCAGGTAGCACATATGCTCCTGGGGTCATGCCCAGAGTTACACAGCAAACTCTCCATTGGCCTTGCCAAAAATGTGTTAAATCCTACTAGGCCTTGCCAAAAGGAAAACTTGTTCATGCTATTCTCAGGCCTTGTCCCTCAAAGAGGTCACATGGCTCCCAGCAACCCTTGACTTAAAAGTAAAACCTAAAACTACAAGCATTTAGAAGAAAACCTTGCAGACATTTCTTGGATTTGATATCAAAGGTACAATTCTTAAAAGAACATTGATAACCTATGCTCAAAAAAATTACAAATATCTTCTTCAAAGGCGACTGTTTAAAAAAAATAGATGGAAGTCAATATTTCTATATCACATATCTCTTGTATCCAAAATATATAATGAGTTCTCAAATCTCATAAATATACAAACAATATAAAAACTCAGTTACAAAATAGTACTCAGCAAAGCATGATGACACATGCATGTAATCCTAATATTTGAGCAATAGAGGCAAAAGAATCACAAGTTAAAGATCAGCTTGGGCTACACATTGGGTTCCAGACTATACTAGGCTATGATAAGTGTCAGCAGTTGAAACAAGTTAAATAAATACATAAATCAAGCTAATCATAGTGGTGCATGCCTAGTCCCAGCACTTAGGAAACTTAGTTTGATGCTCTTTGATTATAGAATGAGACTAACAAAAAAAGCAAGGTGAGCCAAAATTTTTAAATAGACACTTAACCAAATTATGTGTTCAACATTGTTACTAAGAAAACAAGTTACTCCACTGAGTTAAAAACTGTACATACAGGAATGTGTATTCATATAACCATAGTGGTTTTATTCATAATCAAGAACAGGAAACAACTCACCTGGTGGGGAGTAGATAAATTCTCATTTGTAGAAGAATAAACAGACACAACATTGATTAATATTAGGTGTCTTGTGCTAAGTGAAGTTGTCAGACTAAAACCCTACTATATTTTATTTCTGTAACATTCTGAAAGGTCATTGGTGTGTGGGCTTAATTTTGGCCATTGTAGATGTTAATAAAACATTCTGGTTCTTTTCAGGTCCAGTGCTACAGATAGATTTTTAGGAGTAGGAGATGGAGTCCAAGAGTTAGCCTTGAGGTGGGGAAGATAGGGAGCATTAGTAGGATACTAAATCTTAGGTAGTAAAGAGAAGAGGGTTAAAAAGGTTATTGAAGTAAAGGGTAGAGAAACTAACCTCATCTGCTGAGAATAAGAACACGGTTGAGAGCTGAGGTAGAAAAAAAAAGTTGGCTGGGAGGTGTACGAGGTGCTATGAGGAGTTCAGTGAGTGGTGCTGAGAATTGCCTGATACTAAGTACAGAATTTCAGTTAGGCTGAGTCTCTATCCTCCACAATCCTAAACAGGAAATCAAAAGGAAGGGTTTGTACCCTGGGTGGGTTTGTCATGGCAGATTGCTTAGGGGAGTTTATTGAGGAATCTGGGTAAGTTACTATGACTTTTGCCTTACCTTAACATATTTCTCATTTTCTGTTCTGGAAGAAGTGCCCTGGAAGCCCTCGGAAGGCTTTTAGGAAGATACAGAAGGTAGAGGAAAGGGGCCTTTAAAGCTTTTCTGGCCCTAAATGGCTGCAAAATCAACAAAGCCTTCGTCGGCCCCATCTCCACCAGACCAGGCTCCTGAAGAGGATCTTGTCATTGTCAAGATAGAGGAGGATCATGGTTGGGATGAGGAATCTACTGTGCATGAAAATAATACTCCTGGCCAAGAACTGTTCCGCCTACGCTTCAGGCAGCTATGCTACCAGGAGACATTAGGACCCCGCGAAGCTATGATACAGCTCCGTGCACTTTGCCATCAGTGGCTACGGCCAGACTTGAACAGCAAGGAGCAGATTCTGGAGCTACTGGTGCTGGAGCAGTTCCTGAGCATCCTGCCAGGGGAGCTGCAGACTCTAGTTAAGGAACACCGATTAGAAAATGGAGAGGAGGTGGTGACCCTGTTGGAGGACTTGGAAAGGCAGATTAATATCCTAGGACAACCAGTAAGTAGCTGTGCATGTTGTGACTGTGAATTCCTAGAAGCTGGGTAAGAAGTCATTGGCTTATTTTGAGGAATAAATCCTGTGCATTGGTTTCTGTTAAATGTGGATGAAAATTAATGTACTATGTATTGCTCTTGTAGTTTTGTAAATGATAGAATCCATTTTTTTTATCCTCGTAAGATCCCCACAATTGTATGTTTTATTGCCTTTGCTTGCTAAATGGAACCATGATACACAAAGAACTTTACATTATTTTTCTTCTGGGGTACCAGTGGACAGAGCTTATTGGGTCAAGTGTTTCCACATTTTTTACCTCTTATTCAAGGAATTCAAATACAGATCCACACAAATTGTACAAGTAGCAAGGAAACTTTATTCAATGGTAGAACAATGGTTCAAGACATACAATCAAGAGTGACAGGCCACTTGAGTGAGAATACTCAAGGGCTCCAGTTATTTGGGGCTTCTTTTTATGATGTTTGAGAGAAAAGGAGTTTGCTAACAGGCATGATGAGGATAGTTCTTTGTTTTCTCAAATGACAGTTTCTCTTATTGCTCAAGCACCCAGTATCAGCCTAGGTCTACTTAGCCTCCTACCTTCTTTACCCAGATATAACTGGAATATGAATGTGTACAAGCTGTCTTGGTTTCATGGTTGTTAGGGGAAGAGAAATTTATTCCATTGTTCAGAGTAAGATGTGTGTACAACTTAATGCAGGTGCAGTCCTAGATCAATAACAGGTGCTAGGTGCATTGTTAACAGGGGGGAGGACGGGAGTGGGGGGGGGTACTTGTAACAAAACAAGTAAAGCCCAGCTTGCTAAACTGTTTTCTGTGTCTGTTTGCCTTGCCTGGATAGTTAAAGATTACTGCTTACTAGGTTCCTTGTCAAAAGAGTTTTGGTATTGTATGACCCTGTTTTGGTTTTCTCTGTTATTCATTCTCTTGTTATTTTCTGTCCTAGAGTTGGAGCATTAATGAAAGTCTTGAGTACTGAGCAGGAAAAAGTCCCTTCTCTTGCTAATGTAGTGTTTCTTGTTGCCCTAGGAAGTAAATGAAATTATACTGCCATGCTTTCCCAAATGTGAACACCCATCAATGGCCAATTGGCTCTATTACTGCTTCATTTCTCAAAGGAATTCTTTGTAAATGAGCTGTCCCATTGTTTCTAGGTCTCAGCTCGTACACATGGGCATGGAGTACTCTGGGAGGAAGTCGTATCTTCAGAAGCTGCACCAGAACCTCCAAGTACTCAACTCCAACCTGTGGCAACCAAGCATAAATCTCCAGTGCCCCAGAAGCCACAGGACAGAGGAGAGAGACCAGATTTCACTTATAAGGGTGAGAAAAGTAGAAAGGAAAGAGGCTTATATTTGGGGTACCTGTCTGATTCAGGAACTAGCATCTTTGTTTGAGTAGTTCCAGTCTTCTGGTTTTGAATGTTGATAGAAGTAGTATATGAACTTTTCCTGTGGGGATAAACATCTATTCACCCCAGGTAGGACACAACAAAGAAACAACTTTATTGAAGACCAACTTGTGAACCAATGATTTTAATTAGGAGTAGGATAAAGGATTTTTTATAGGAACGTGGGTAGCTTAACAGCAGCTACACCACTGAAGAAAGCTCTAGCACTACTCAGTTGCCTACATGGGGATGAGGAAGGAAGATTGTGATCCTTCCCCACTCTGTGGCAAAAGTTAATGGGCCCAGTCTTTTGCAGGTCTTATGCATGCATCCACAGTTCGGGGGGCAATGGCCATATCATGCCCAGAGGACAGTAGACCATCAGTTCTAGTGGTAAACTTATAAACAAAGAACTTTGTTACCTCAGTACATTTACAACAGAATCTTTTTATATTTTTCTAGTATCATAACATTTTATTTGCAAGTACTTCAGTATGCTTTTCTTTAATGAGAGCATTTTCGATAAGCACAGTAAGATGACATAGTTAAGAATTGTGGTGCTGGTGTGGCACTGATCCAATCCACAACTCATACTCATGTTTTGCCTATCAACTCAAATGTTTTTTCTGGTCCAGAGCTACCCTATGAATAGTGCATTTCATTTAGTCATAAATCTCTTCAATCTCCTTTAATTTGATAGGTTTTGGCATTATTTCTTAGTCTTTCTTTTCATGACTTTAACAGTTTTGAAGAACACAGATTAGAATTAGAATAGCTGTCGATTAGGTTTGCTTGATATTTTCTCATATTTAGGTTCAAGTTGTATATATTTGACAAGAACACTCCAGAAATTTGACCTATTGTGATGTTATCTTTCATGATTTAAGACTAATCTTGCTAGGCTAATCACTGTAAAGTTACTGTTCTTCCTTTATAATTAAGAAGTAATCTAGGAGGAACTTCTCATGGAGGTGTGTAAATATCTTAACCTTTATCACACTTGTTGCCAAAACAGGAGTTTTGATATTTATTGATATTTCTTTTTTACTTTGTTGATGCTTCTCAACTGAGTCAGTGATTGTTACTAAACCAGTTACAAATGGTAATTTCTTGGCCATTCCTTCTATTTTGCTGCATTGTTAATCTTAAGAGAAAATATTACTTCTTTCCCTTTTAGCTTACTTCTAGGTGGTCATGTGGAGACTAGAAGTCATGTTGGGTGTCCTCTGTTTCTTCCTACCTTGTATTATTTTTATTGGTGTGTGTACATAGACATGCACCTGGAGGTCAGAGAACAGCTTTCTTCAAGAGTGGCTTCTGTCTATCCACCATGGGTTCCAGGAATTGAACTTGAGCCATCAAGTTCATGGAAAGCACTTTTATCCCCAAGCTCTCTCTGGCCTCTCTACCTTATTTTTTGAGGTGGAGTCTTTCCTTGAACATGTAGGTCTACCATGTTTCAGCTAGACTACCTGATCTACAGACCCTAAGGATCTGCCTGTCTCTCTTCTTTTCCAACCCCCAACACTGGGGCTCCAGACATAGGGCTTTTATGTAGGTGATGGGATTCTGAACTTATCCTCTTACTTCCACAGCAAGCACTTTACCACTGAGCCATTATTCCAGCCCCTAGTGTGTGAAGGTTTGTGTGTGTGTGTGTGTGTGTGTGTGTGTGTGTGTGTGTGTGTGTGTGTGTGTGTGTGGTGTTGTTTTAGGCAGTGCTAAGTAGCTAAGTACTAACTCAGGGCCTTATTTATCCAAGACAAGCACTCTCCAAATTGAGCTATGTCCTCAACCCTTCTATTTTGTTGCTATTATTTACCCACGAACATAAAAATCATTTGTTTCAGAAACATTGTGTTAACTGTGCTTAAATCATATTTGGCCAGATGAAGCCCCTTAAATCTGGTTTTCCTGGTTGTTTGGTTTTTTGTTTTTGTTTGTTTGTTTTGTGGGGGGTGGCATTTTCCTATCACTTTTTGAGAATTACCTTATTTTATACAGAATAACATATTCTAGATTATTTGTCTTTGTTGTTTTGGGTTTTTTTTCCATTTGTGGGATTTATAATGCTTTGTTTTCTATAAGTGAATATATTTTGCTTTTTGAAACAAGTTCTCTGTGTAGTCTTGCATGGCATAGAACTCACCATGGAGATCAGCCTGGCCTCAAATTTATGGTGGTCCTCCTGCCTATACCATAAGTGCTATGGCTATAGGCATTTGCCACCCCATAACATATGAATGAATTTTTAATATTCCTGCACTTGTTCTTAGTAAAAAGGCTAAGAATTTTTAATGCTTCTAAAAAAAGTAGCATAGAAACACTTTATTTAGTTAATTATGTAATTTTTTTCTGAAGTCCTAAATCTTGCTGCCCACGACATATGTTACTAAACTGTGAAGCTGTGTTTTTGGTGAGAAGATGCTCACTATCCATGAAAAGCAGACACCAGCAGTCATGGTAGACAGCAGAAACGTAACAAATTGGTCAGTTCTCATGTTCAGTTTTCTTCATGATCTAAAGAAATGCTACATACAAACACAAAGATAGTACTTTGGTAGAGAAGAAATTAGAAAACAGCTCCTGTTAGGAAATCACTATACTTTGTTTAATTGGCTATGTAAGTTCAGGTATATTAAAGTACAGATGTTCTATGGGCATCCATGGACATGGGCCAGAGTCCAAAATGTCAGCACTTTATGTGCAAAATTCTTGGCATGTGTATGCTAAAATAAAAGTAATTTTGGATAAGTGAATACTGGCTCCCACAACCGTACAATAAGACTAGTCGATTCATAGCTGCTTTCTCCTCTCAGCCATGTCTACTTCTCAGAGTCCTACTCCTTCCCAGAAAGGAAGTTCTGGAGATCAGGAGGTGGCAGCTAGACTTCTCACTGCAGGGTTCCAGGTGAGTTGTGCTCCTTCTCACTAAAAGCCCATGTCTCTGACAATATTGTGGAAGATGCCCGTATCTGTCAGTAGTGGTATCAGTTTACGAACTTTCCCTGAATCCTTTTCGCTTAGTAACAAACCAATCTTTGGTTTCCGCCAATAAATCTAGTGCACTCTCCTCTTCTGCCCAGCTCTTCACATCCCTTTGCATATCACATTCCTGCTTCTTCACCTCTTCTAACACTATAGTTATCTCAAACACTAGTGTTGAGCTGTGGAATCTTTCTAGGCCCCAAATGAGGGTCTTCTTTTGTTTCAGACTTTGGAAAAGATTGAAGACATGGCTGTGTCTCTTATTCGAGAGGAGTGGCTTCTTGATCCATCACAGAAGGATCTGAATAGAGATAACAGGCCTGAGAAATACAGAAACATGTTCTCCCTGGGTAAGGAGAGCTGTAGTTATTATAATTTAAGAATTTTCTCTTTGTTGTGTGTCTGGTTGCTTTATAAGATTTCTAGAGGATTTAGTTGAACTTAAACTCAAGATTCAGGGCTGTAGAGATGGCTCAATGGTTAAGAGTGCTTCCTGCTCTTCTGGAGGACTGGAGTTCATTTCCCAGCATCCACATTAGGTCCCTTATAAGCACCAGTAACTCCAACTCAGCAGATACTTTACACATGTGACACACATAGACATAAATTTGCTTTACATTTTTTTAATAATTCTTAAAGGAAACTCAGAGTTCAAAAAATAAATATTAGCTTGAGATTCCTGAGGTCTGAAATGAAACATTTTGTTCTCCAGTCCAGAATTCCTTACATTTTGTGTCTGTATAGGGAGTACTGTTCTTTTTGCCAGCTAGAAATTGACATCTCCGTAGTACTCCCTGACTTCACACCTTTCTCCCCGTTCCCCTTGGCCGTCCTATTGGAGCTTCTGTCGTATGAGCCAGCTGTACTTCCACGCTTTCAGGACTGCTTGGCGCAGTCTGTCCCACTCAGTAGATCTTATAGTTCTTTATCTCCTCCTACTCCCCAACTTACACTTCTCAGTAACCCTTTCCAACTTTACTCACCTATCAGGAAACTCCTTTTTCCTGGCACCTCATTTGGTACTTCTGCTTCACCAGCCTACATATATATCTCCCTATTTTGAATAGAGAAGCTTGTACTTGCTTATAGCTTCCATGAGAACTTCATTTCCCCCTTTCTTCTAGTATAGAAAATAGAAAGTGTCTTTGAGAATGATTGTTTACTACATGTTTATTTCAGATGGTGAGACCAGGAGTGAGAACAAGGAATTATTTTCAAAACAGGTAATATCTTCTGGAATCCAGCCACATGGACAAACAGCTGCTAAGTGCAACAGGGATGCTATTGTGGGTCTCGGACATGGAGAAACCCGAGACCTTCTGGGCAGATTAGAGAGGCAGCAGGGAACTCCCACACAAGAGAGACGGCATAAATGTGACGAATGTGGGAAAAGCTTTGCTCAGAACTCAGGCCTTGTTCGACATTGGCGAGTACACACTGGAGAGAAACCCTATCAGTGTAATGTGTGTAGTAAAGCTTTCAGTTACAGGTCAGCCCTTCTTTCCCATCAGGATATCCACAACAAAGTGAAGCGCTATCACTGCAAGGAATGTGGTAAGGCCTTCAGTCAGAACACAGGTCTGATCCTGCACCAGAGAATCCACACTGGGGAGAAGCCCTATCAGTGTAATCAGTGTGGGAAGGCCTTTAGTCAGAGTGCAGGCCTTATTTTGCACCAGAGAATCCACAGTGGAGAGAGACCGTATGAATGTAATGAATGTGGAAAAGCTTTCAGTCATAGTTCACACCTCATTGGACATCAGAGAATTCACACTGGGGAGAAACCCTATGAGTGTGATGAGTGTGGGAAAACCTTCAGGCGCAGCTCACATCTTATTGGCCATCAAAGAAGCCACACTGGGGAGAAACCCTACAAATGCAATGAGTGTGGGAGGGCCTTCAGTCAGAAATCAGGCCTTATTGAACATCAGAGAATCCATACTGGAGAAAGACCCTATAAGTGTAAAGAATGTGGGAAAGCTTTCAATGGGAACACTGGTCTCATTCAGCATCTAAGAATACATACAGGGGAGAAGCCCTATCAATGCAATGAGTGTGGGAAAGCTTTTATTCAGAGATCGAGCCTCATTCGACATCAGAGAATCCACACTGGAGAAAAACCTGAAACTACGGGAGTTTAGGAAAATCTTTGGTTGTCATTTGAGCATTATTCAACAGTAGAGAAACCCTGTCATAGTGGAAAAGTCTAGTGAAAAAGGCAAAATCTATAGTGATGACAAAGCTAAGAATAGCACTTCAGTACTTTGAGCCCAGTCCCTGATACTAATTGATTAGCTTGACTGTCTTTGGAGGCATCTGGTGAAGCAGAGCCCCAGCAGCTTAATGTATTCTTCAGAACTTTAAAATAAAAGCAATTTCCTTGTTGTGACTTAAAACACTATATTTTGTCTTTCCCAAGAGTAGTTTTAAGTTTGAGAAGGGTCACTCCTCTAAGCTTCTCATTCCCTCTGAATGTGCCCTTGTAAATGTTAATCTAAGAAGCTGCTTGAGTCCAAGGCAACCTCAATGAGACTAAGATTTGTATTTAGCTTTCTGATACCCTAGTAGAGGGAAATTGTTAGACATTTAACATATTATTCTAATACTCTTAGATGATAGAAATCCATATTCTTGTACAAACTCAATGCTAAATTGTTAACAGCACTGTAGCATTTCTCTTCATTTAGCACCTTTATTGACTCCATTGAGTCCCTGAGCATCTGTGCATATCCTTCACCTCCCCCAGTCTCAGTATCTGTGTCAACAAAGGAAGTGGATGCATTAGTGATAATGGTGGGAGTGATGCAAAGAGAGAGGTGAGTGGAGATTCAGCCTGGCTCTTCTTGAGCATAGACATCTGTACCTCAAGTGACTTCTGACTCTCCTTCACCTTCCCACTGTACATTGCTTTGAAAAATATTTGCACTATCAAAGCTTTGGCACCACATAGGAGACAAAGGAGCTAGAAAAAGACATCAAAAATCCTTACAAAGAATGTGCATCATCCCTTTGGCCCATTACAATACTGCTCTCAGGTTCCTACCTATATAAACTCCGTGAGTACATGGTCAGTTTGGACTGACCTTCTCAGATGACCTCTGTAGCTCCATAATCATCTTCCATCTGTTTCCTTTCATTTGCATATCTTCAGTATCCACAGTGGTAATCTGTCAAATACCTCACCTCTGATCCGCTTTCTGAATTCTGGTACACTCCATCAATCATCTAACAACAAACAGATTACTAAACTCATTGTCACCAGACCCTATATTTCACCTCTAAGGCTTTTAGTATAGCATAACATAGGATATTGTGTAAAGTAGTGAGACTGGTTTTAAAATAACACACCATATCATGTACATCAAAAACATAGTGTCCTTGCAGATGAGTAATTATTCTTCATTCTAGTAGTGCTACTAGACATCCAAATATGAGGAACATTCTTAGAATTCTCATCTAATGAAGAGCTAGAAAACCATCTATTACTATTGTATTTCATGTTTGGCTATTTGATTAGACAGTGGACTTGGAGTTGAATAACTTTTGCTTTGCATCATTAATCCTCACACTTAAAATTATTCCGTTAATTTACTCAGAAGACACATAAGTAGGTTATGGTGAAATCTCCAAGAAAACAATTTTACATTGTGACTATCCTGAAAAGGATCATCTTAGTTTCATTGGTTAACTCTCTCAGACCAGTTCTTTTCATTCTTTATTTTCTTATTCTCCTTTCTGTTTGTTTCCTTCCTGTTCAATATAGATTACCATTCCTAACTCTGCTCTAACACTCTTAAACACTGAGCTGTCTCCCCAGCCCCAGTAGCTTGAGTTGTGCCTTACCTTCTCTAGGTGACAGGATTTCTGCATAGGTCAGTGCTACCCTGTGTGCAAAAGTTGCATAGGATGAGTACATTGTCAGAGAAGCTGGATGTCTGTGTGAGTGCACATATGCATGCCCACTCATCTCATACACTTTTGTGGAGTGCCTGCCTTCATTTCCGATAAATTGCCCTGTAAGCATTTGTATCCACAACGATATGAAGCAGATTACTTCAGTCTCAGAACTACTAAGAACTACTAAGCATCTGAAAGAAGTCCAAAGAAAAGGAAATAATATGGTTGGAAAGATCAATATTACACTGGAGGTAGATATGGAAAAGGTTGTCATTTAAAAATGAGTTATTAGAGCCATTACTGGTGATGCATATGTTTAATCATAACACTCATAAGCCAGCCTGGTCTGTATAGCAAATTCAAAGCCAGCCTTAAATATGGTGAGACCAGTCTCAAAAAAAAAAAATGGTAATTGGGGCTGGAGAAATAGCCTAGAGGTTAAGATTGTGGACTATTCTTTCAGAGAACCATTGAGTTCAGTTCCAGCACCCATGTTGCATGGCTTGCTACTTCCTGTAACTCCAATACCAGGGGATCCAACATAGCTGACCTCCACAGGCACCTGCACACAGGTACACATAGACATATATACAATACATAATTGAAAAGAATAAAAAAATTTTAATGAGTTATCAAAGCTGATTTAGCACATGTATAGAAAAGGCCAAGTATTATAGTATTTGACAATAGAAAAGGCTGTGGAATCTTTGCAGAAGTACATACAAGTCGTTTTTAGTCTTGATTCACCAAGCATTAATCTATATTACATTTTTTTAGAGCTCTTAACTATCAGTGGCATTCATTAGGCTTTTATCCTATAGAGTCAGTTTTTTCCTTCAATCTGAGATGGATTATTCACCAGTACTTTCTTGTACCATCCTCAGCTGCTCATTTTAGGATCTGGTATGGTAAAGTAGTTCTTCTGTAACTCACTTGCCATCAACATACAACTGGAAGAAACCTCTGAGTGTTTCTCCATGCGGCCAGATATGTATTCAAGAATGTGGTGATTGATTCCAACCTGGACCAGTACAGCTTTGCTCTTGTTTCTACATCTCCAGAATTACAGATTTTGTTTTGTCTTATTTTGTTTTGAGCAGTTACTGTGAGCCAAGCCCTAACTTAAACGTTTACCCTACTTAAAAGCTAATATCACTATATACCCCATTTATAGATGATAGAAACAGAAGCTTCGAGAACTAACCAACATCACATAGCCAGCAAATGACAAGATTCTAACTAGAGCCTGTGATAACCACACTGCTATGCTACCAACACTGACTAAACTGTGGCCTGCCAAATGAAACCATGTACCCCTGGTCATAAGAGATACCAGGTAAAAGAGTGCACAATAGTATAGTGCGGATTCATTGCAATTACTAGAAAATTGGCTTTAAAATACTGTTTGGGTTGAGCACATCTTTAGATGTTGATAGTCTAGATTTTTTTAGTACAAAAAAGGTAAATTTGTCAATAAAATGTGCTTAAAGGAGTAACTAGGAGGGTAAAGCAGTAACAGCTAACTGATTCAAATACATTTCTCTATAGACTGCATAAGGGCAAGAGAAATGAGTAGATTCCAGGCCGGGCAGTTGGGCAGTTAGGGTGGCAGTAGTAAGTTTATCCACAGTAAGAAGTGCTTCAAACTTCTTGTACATTTCCAAACACTGTTCTGTATGTCTTGCATTTTTCTTGATTTTTCAAATTTGTTACTCATTTAACCCATTTCTGCCTTAGCTCTTAAAACATTATCTGGCTGGCTGTCATAGTCAACATTCCACTAAAATGTATGTAGAATGGCCAATGTATAAATTAAGGCCTTTTATTGTTGTTGTTGTTGTTGATGTCATCCCTAATCTCATATGTCATAATGTTGAATTTTCCCATCACATATGGGATTTGAGTATTACCAGATTCTTGGGTCTTTTGTTGGTAGACAGCCATTGTTGGACTAGCTGGACCACAGCCTGTAAATTCTGTTCTTCTAGAAAACCCTGACTAACACAGATTTTTTTGAACCAGAAGTGATTCTAAAGCAACAGAAATATAAGGATGAAATTTTTAAGTATCTGGAATACACTTTCCAATTTGCCAACACCTACTGAAGCCTCCTCTCAGAAACCCAGGGTGTATTGAAAGCCCATGGTGTGAACTAGTTTGCAAACTTAAGGAGACAAATGCATTTGGTTATTCTGATTCACTGGCTGTAGAAGGCAAGAGATTTGGTGACTTTGTATGTCTGGATTTAAAAAAAAAATCAGATCCCAGCCCCAGAGGGTATCAGTGGTTCAAGTAAGAGCATTAATTAGTAAAGATTTGGATCCTGTAACTTGGGATGAAGATGTGTGGGAGGACCCTCAGATTCTCCAGGGTGTATCTCATTTGAGAGAATAGTCTCTCTACTCTCAGCATAAGATGTACTCCCACCCGCTAAATATTGCTTTTTCTGCTTTGAGGAAATACAGGATGGGTAGTGAAGGAAGGTAGTTATAAATACCAGTTATGGTCATGTAACCAATTGCAGAAATGAGGACTATAATTGACATGACTGTTTCTGCCATGCTTTGTTAAGAATGTGTTTGTACAGATACTTATGTTTCTTTCCTCAATTTCTATCATGTAATACAACATCAATTAAGAGAATATCTGTAGTTACCATAATATTTAAGTTTTGAGATACCAATAGAATGTCCTCCAAGGAACATTGGCATCTATTCTGAAATTTATAATGGGCTTGTGATTGTACAAGAGATAGTAATATTGTGTTAGATGTAATTATGACCTGGTTAAATATATAATGCATTTGCAACTGTACTTGAGATAGTTATATCATGTTAGGTGTAATGTGACCTGGTTATTATTTTCTCTTGGAAATTAAGCATGGCAAAAGGAGATATGACTGTGTGTCAAGTTGACAAGGGGTGGATTGTGGTAGCTATTCTTGGTTGTCAACTTGACTACACCTAGAATTAACTTAAACTAAACTGCTGGGTACACCTGTGAGGGATTTGTTTTAAATCATTTGAAGTGGAAACACCCACTTTTAATCTGAATCTTTTGAGGTGGGGAGATCCACCTTTAATCTGGGTCAAACCTTCTGATGGCAGCCTGTGTAAGGGTATGAAAGAAGGAAGCTTTTGCTCTTGCTTCCTTGATCTTGATTGCAAGTCCATTTCTTCACTGGAATTAGATCCTACTTCAGGATTCTGGCATATAATGAAGACCAGCTGAGACATCCAACCTGGTGGAATAAACAGGCCATTACTGGACTAGTGGATGACAACCTGTAAGCCACACTAATAACTTCCCATTCTCTACATATAAATATATATATATAGATTATATAGATAATATAGATTCATTCTATAAGGTTCTCTAGAGAACCTTGACTAATACACCATTCAAGAATTCTCCTTTCTTTGTCTTGCGGGATCTTTTTAGGTCATTTTTCTTCAATATCTGGCTTTCTTTATTAGGCTTTTTTTTCTCCTCTATACTAAAAATAATCCCCATATCCTACTTTTACTCACTTTTTTGTCTCTTTTCCTGTTTATCTGTTTTGTTACTTCATGTATGTGAGTGACTTTGTATGTATGTCATCTCACTGCTTGGAGAATTTTCCTCAGCTACCTACACAACCAAAATTCACCATTCTCCTTCAATTTGTATTTTCTTTTAAAGTAGACATCATTGCTTAACTTCTGTACCCTAAATAGAATCACTGCCCTTCATATTTCTCATTCCAACCTTGAAGTTACCATATCATCTTTTTCTGTCTTCAATTCTCCAAGTCTAGAATTTTGTTGATCTTTATTGTATTCTTAGGGGACTTGTTTATTATGTTGTTACCTGGTCCTTTTATATTTTTACCATACCCTTATAGTCTTCCACAGATCTATATCATGTAGGCTCAGGTTACTATAATTCCCCTTTCAGAATATCCAATTTAAATAACACCTTAAAGATGATCCTCAAACTCTGCTCCCAGCAAATAATTGTCACCAGAGTGGTAGCGTTCCATTCCTAAATCTGCCTCAGTTTTCATCACTCTAGCATGTTTGCCTTGATACATCACATTCAAACCTCCTACAACTTTTTACTATTGTCTTACAAGCCTTTGCCTCTGTGCCTTTCTCATGTGTGGGGTTTTTTTTGTCCTTTGGTTACCCTCTGGCCATAACTCCTGTTCACTCTTCAAAACTCAATTCCTTTATGTCTTTTGAGTGAGCACCTCCTGTTTGAGTTCACCTCACATCAAGATCTACTCTCATTCTGTGCTGCAGTTAACTTTCAAGTTTGTACTGTAATCCATGCACTTACTAATACCTTGCTCTGTAATTTATTTTCTAGAAGTCTGTATAGTAGTTTCACATTTGTATTTATTTCCAAAATTAAATTGTAAGCTCCTTGAGGGCAGGGATAATAACTAACATTTGTATCACTGCACCCTCTTAGTGCCTAGTGCAATACTGAGCACACAGTAGGTGTTTAATAAATGCTTGTTGAATTATTGTGTGAATTTTTTGTGATATTGAAACTTTTAAGGGTTTTCAGCGACACGTCCTATGTATGTAGTGCACTAAAAGTGCAAAACTGGTTTAGCAGTGGTGGCGCATGGCTTTAATCCCAGCACTCAGGAAGCAGAGGCAGAACAGTATCTGAGCTGGAGGCCAGCCTAGTCTACAGAGTGATTTCTAGGATGGCCAGGGCTACTTAGAGAAACTCTGTCTCAAAAAAAAAAACAAAAAAACAAAAAAAAAACTTTCCCTGCAAAGTACCATAGTACATCAAGATTTGCCTGTATCAAGGAGTAAAGCCTTACATTCTAGTCGGATCAATGTGGGGGTAAAAATGAAGTTTTAAACTGTTCTCTTTCCAAAGCTATTGATGAGTTTAAAAATAAAGAAAAACAGGAAACAACCCATGTGTAGTGCCACAAGTCTAGAATCCCAGAACTTGGGAAGTAAAGGCAGGAAGATCAGAAGTTCAGGGTCTACCCTTGCTGCATAAGGAGTTTCATACATAGACTATCTGAGACCTTTTTCCAAAATCAAAGAGAATAAATATGCACACACAAAGCTATTCTGATAAAAGTACAACTTTAAAGGAGTCAGAAAATAAATATTGCATCTGCTGTTTGGGAAGTTTAGCTATGTCTGGAGACATTTGGGATTATACAATTTGTGAGCAGCTGGGATACTTCTGCCATCTAGTGAACAGAGTCCAAAGATGCTACTAAGCATACTTCATACTATCCTTCATAACAGAATCTTAGGTGTGTGTGCATATTATGTGGTGTGATTAAAGAAAGACTTAGTATTTGGGGTTCAAAGTATTAAAACTATAGTTAAATTTTTTCTAGTGCTTTCTCTTTAAGACACAGTAACTTATGGGGTAATGCCATTGGAATATGTACAATGCCTAATGGTCAAATTAGGATGACTGGTATATCTGTCACCACACGTTATGTGTGTGTGTGTGTGTGTGTGTGTGTGTGTGTGTGTGTGTGTGTGTGTGTGTGTGTGTGTGTGTGTGTTGGGATTGTTTCTTAAACATGCAGTTAATTTTTGTTGACTTCAGTTTGTGGGAGCACCAGACCTTGAGCAGAGACCCACTTCCCCTTCTGCCTGGGAGTGGGCAGCTGTAAGACAATGTTTACTAAAAACATGTTTACTAAAAACAATACAATGCCCGGGGGCAATAAGTTCCTGGAAAAGGCCTGCCCACAGAAATCACCCTGACCTCGACCTTGTCCAAAGACTAACCGCCTCTTCTGCCACGCCCAGATCAGTTTTTGGTGTGAGAGAGAACCAGCCAGGGTAGAGGAGAGAGCAGAAGCTTCTCTGGTGGGAGCTTTTCTTAGGAAGTTTTCTTGAACCTTTTTGGGGCCTGCTTAAAGTTTTCTTTACATCGTTGAACGAGTCTCTGTGTTGTCAATCCCCGACACCCTCCGCACATTCTCGGACACAGGCCGCGCAGCAGACGCGACACAGTTATCTTACATTTCTACAGAACACAAGTTTCAAGGCTGAAGGTATAGCTCAGTAGTAGAGCCCTTGTCTTGCAAGCACAAGGCCCTTGGTGATGAGCACTTAAAAAAAAAAACTATATGCATGCACTTGTACCTATTGTGATGATGTTTAGGATTGTTTTCAACATCAGATCTGCCACCAGCATCTGCTAACTGGCAGGTGAAAGTACAAGTCTAGCTTTCGAGTGTTGACCCATTACCATACTGTATCCTCAAAGGTCAAATACTGGGGGCTAATTCTTAAGCATAGGAAAGAGACTGCAGTCTATCAACACTTTAGCTTTGGGAACAACATGGAAACAAACACACTCTTTGGTGGCCACTAGATCAAATTACCATTTGTCCAAGAAGGCAGTGAACTAGGATGTTCTGTCTGCAAGCAGAACTCACTCCTTCAGTTTTAATATACTCTGAATTAATCCTACTTTGAAGGCAAGTGTCTAAGGAAATGTGATTCTAGCTAAACCAGCATTTGAAAAACACTAGTTCAGCCAGGACTATGTAGTGGGACCCTATTAAAAAACAAATTGAAGTGATGGTGTCATGGGAATTCTCTCAACACCCTCACACCAATTTTTTTGGAATGTAGCTCCAAATTGCCTGTGGGAGCACACCAAGTGACTCAGTTTCCATCTGAAGTCTATTCTTACTTATAAAACATTAGAGTTCAAGTTTGCTAGTTTCAATGTCCTTGAGAGCTGTGAGAATGTTCTGATTAAGACCATGGGAAAGAGCATATTATCTAACTAACAAGCTTCTGATGCCAGCCAAAAGGCACATAAAGATAGCTTGTTGCTAGCAGGACGCACGTGACAGATATTGAGCCTGTCTGCTCCTCCATTCAAGGACAGCGCTGCAGGGAGCTGGTTAATTGACTATGCTGCTCTTTGTTCTGCTTTGCCTCTAGTCTGTATATAAGCAGGTTCTTAATTAAACTCAGGGATGTGTGGTGTGATAAAAGGCATGGACTGGCTGGTCCTCCTAAATCTATCCTGTATTTCTCTCTGTTTCTTTTATCTGCCATTTCTCAATCCTCATACCCCTACTCGGGTATCCTAGTTGACTCATTGGTGATGAAAGGGTTTATTTTAGCCTAAAATTCTCAGGTCATACTCCATCACTGAGGACTCATAATTTGAGTTCATGCCATGAGTCATAGCAGGGACTCCAAATAGGATCCTGGAGGCAGCAGCTGATGCAGAAACCACAGAGGAGTGCTGCTTTCTGCCTTGCTCCTTGTGGCTTGCCCCTCCTGCTTCTTTACACAGCCCAAACCACCTCCTCAGTGGGCTGAGTCCTCCCGCATCTATCACTAAGTAAGAAAATGTTCCCACAGGCTTGCCTACATTCCGGTCTTGTAGAGGCATTTTCTCACTTGTGATTCCCTCTTCTCAAATAACCTTAGCTTGTACCAAGCTGAAAAATAAAAAACAAAACCACTAACCAGGACACTTAGTCATGGTGTTTTATCACAGCAACAAAAAGTTACAAATACAGTATCTTTGCTCTAGTAAAATACGCTGAAATGTCAGTTACAACAGTTCCTTACATGGAAGTTATAAGTACTAGTCATTGACATTCTGAAGTCTTCCTCAAATCCTGGAGTAACTGTCTGAATTTTGTTCTTGAAGGTGTTTCCCTTCATGCTGTTGACTAAACCCTTAAATTCTAGCAATTATTGTGTAACCAAATGACATCCCCAGCCTGAGACTTAAAATAGAAAATAAACCCTATCACTTCAGCTGGTCAGGTCATACGTCCTGCGTGCTTGGTAGAGTCTGCTCAGAGTGAATCTGGAACTGAAAGGAATTCAGCCTGGTTGTGAGACATCAATATCTTTGGTTCTGCAGGAACTTCATCCTTTCAGTCAGGTCCTCTGGATTGGGTTCATAATGTATAGTAGCCTTTCTATTTTGAAGTTGTAAAAGGTGTCTGTCACATTATCCTCTGATAATTTTGCAGTTTTATTTTTAACATTTATGACCTTGATTTTTTGGGAATGCTTACTGTTGTATGGAGCAGGAATTCGATTTGATGTCTTTCCAAAATATTATTCATTTATTCTTATAAATTTATTGAAGATCATTGTTTTTCTTATTATTTTCATCACATCTATTTCTGGACATCTGAACCATTTGTTTGCCTTGACCCTATTGATACCTCACAGCTTTATAACAGGTTTTCCAGCTTTTAAGACAGGTTCCTTCTTTTTTCAGTTTTCCTAGTTTTATTTTCTCTGTGAATGGTAAAATCTACTTTGGAAAGTATTGGTAGTCTTAGGGGAATGCTGTTTAAATTTACAAATTGTTCTTTTATGCCGAGGATGAAACCCAAGGCCTGGCACTTGCTAGGCAGGCACTCCACCACTGGTCTACTGGTCTAAGTCCTTAGCCACTGCAAACTATTTCTGAAATTGATCCCTGAGCCCTAAGCCCTGAAGGTGACTCACCTGGGAGGCAAAATTCAGGTTCTAAAATTATGTCTGAACTTTTACTTCTAGGTTTTCTTATAATTTAGAAGAGCATTTTATTTTCTCTGTGCGATTAAAGAAATAAAATGTTCTCCAAGACGTTCTGAGTAATCATTGCCTACTTCACACCTCGCTGGTCCGAGTTTACTGACCACAGAGAAGAAAACCTCCAGCGTCCTAGAGAGCACCAACCTTTTGGGTGCAAGTGGGCCGAGTTGGGCCTTTCTAGCATGGCAGCTGGTCTTCTCAGTCTCCTGGTGAGTTCGTTTCTTTGTTAGCTTCTGGGTATTGCGGAGGACAAACGCGTTCTTACCTTGCTCCTCTAGCCTTCTTCTCACGGGAGCCCCTCACCTTTCTCCTTACCCTCTCCGCGCAACAGAGGTGGCTCCCCACCTCGGCGAGGTCGGGGCAAGGCTGGCTCTGGGTCGGGCCGCGGTCCTGTGCCGCCTGAACCTCAGAACTGCAGTCTGTGCAGCGAGCGATCGGCTGGTTCTGAATTTCCGGAGGGGTGAGCGCCTGGTTTTGTCTCTCTTCAGAGGTCCTCCTCAGCTTGGTTTGTGTTCGTTTTTGTAAAATGTGACTCAACGAGGATTTAGTGTTGTTTTACTGAACTGTCGTTTTCACAGTATCGTTTGGAGGTGCATACTGGCATAGATGTATATTGCCACTGAGGAGACTATCTGTAACATGGAAAAGGACGGGAGGACAATTATTATAACTTGAATTTGAAGGCCAAATTAGGTTGGCTCTCAAGGGATGAGACTGGTAGCAGTCCACATTCTTTGCATGGTCTGAGTTGCAAACACAGAATAGTAAACTAATGAAACGTTTTACTCTGACAATTTTCACGGGGGACAAGACAACCCTCTTGCTAAGATATTGGTTTTCATACTGTCAGCAGCCACTACAAGGGTAGTGTTACAATGGACCATATTGTTACAAAAAACCAAGGGTCTTCCGGAACCCTCCTATAACTGAAATGATGGGACTTCTGGGTGATAAACATTTCTGTCTGTGAAGTTGTCATATCTTTTTCCACACTTAAATTGACTTTCTTGTCTTTATTCCTGCACTCCTTCATCTATCCCATTTGCTAATCTCTTCAACATCTATTTTCTTTAAAGTTTACTTTAATGTGATTTTTAAGTGTTTTGTAAAGTACAAACTATACGTTATTTTTTCCAATGCACAGTTCAAACCCAAGGCCTGTGTCCATTAAGCAAGTGCTGCACCACTGAGCTGTGTCCCCAGCCCATATACATTAGTTTTATATTCATATGTACTCTAGATAGTTTTAGATACCCTAAAGAAGACAGCTATCCATGTCAGCTGTTCATTCTGGTAGTCTGCGGTGTTGCTCTCTTGATGCAGGGAATGAAAACATTGCATCTGTTACCTGGCTCATATTTGATTGGTGTGTCCTTGGATTACTGAACAGATGTTTAAAGGTTCTAGTTAAGTCTGTGTCACATAGTGCTTTACCTACACTGTGTAAAATACTTTGAAAAAAATTTTGCTTCTTATTTCAGGAATCAAGACCATCGTTGTAAGCAAAGCATTAACCTTGAAAGATGAGTTTGTAAGAATGGGCCCAGAGGTCTCTAACGTGCACACTAAGGATTCTTTACAGATTTCTGTGAATCAAGTCTCTCAGTACGAAGATCAGTTAGAAAACTACAAAGGCAGGCCCACAGAGAGCAGACGGCATAAATGCAATGAATGTGGGAAAGCATTTACCCAGAATTCAGTTCTTGTTCGACATCAGAGAATTCACACTGGAGAAAAACCCTATGAGTGTGACCATTGTGGAAAAACCTTCAGTGCACGTTCAACCCTCACTGTGCATGAAAGAGTCCACACTGGGGAGAAACCCTACACCTGTGACAAGTGTAAGAAAAGCTTTAGTGTAAAAGGACACCTGATTATACATCAGAGAGTTCACAACGGAGAGAAGCCGTATGACTGCAGTGAGTGTGGGAAAGCGTTCAGTGTGCGCTCAGACCTTACCAAACATCAGAGAGTACACACAGGTGAGAAGCCATTTGGGTGTGATGAGTGTGGGAAAACTTTCAGTGTGCGCTCAGACCTTACCAAACATCAGCGATTACACACAGGTGAGAAGCCATTTGGGTGTGATGAGTGTGGGAAAACTTTCAGTGTGAGCTCAGCCCTCATCAAACACCAGAGAATCCATACAGGAGAGAAGCCATATAAGTGTAAGGAGTGTGACAAAGCCTTCAATGTGAACTCAGCCCTTACTAATCACCAGAGAATTCACTCTGGAGAAAAACCGTATGAGTGTGGAGAATGTGGGAAGTCATTCAGTCAAATTCAAACTCTCATTCATCACCAGAGAATCCACACTGGAGAAAAACCCTATGAGTGTGAGGAGTGTGGGAAAGCTTTCCGAAGATGCTCGAATCTTACCAAACACCAGAAAGTACATGCCAAAAGAAAATATCAGCAGTGATATGTGTGGTGAAGGTATTCTAGAGGCCTTTGGTTGCATCAAGGGTTATAGCAAAAGCAATTCATCATATGTCGCCATTGAAGTACTGAAGAAAGAAGTCCATCATTGTACCCAAGCCTCTGAAGTCACCTTTCCTCTCTCTCTCTTTAGAATTCAGCTTCACAACTCATAAGGTTTTGGGTTTTGTGTGTGTGTGTGTGTGTGTGTTATTGTTGTTTAATGTAAATCATATTCCAGGGGCCAGGAAGATGACGCACTCAGTAAAAGCACTTAAGTTTAGATCTTCATAGCCCACATAAGAAAGCCAGATTCAGGTGTAGCCAGCATCTGTAATGCCAGCATTCCTGTATTAAGAAGACAACTGCAGAAGAATTGCTCTATGCAGAAGCTCCAGCACCTGGAATATGCAGCCCAACTACAGAAAGAAGAAACCTTCCCTCAAATAAGGTGGAGGACCTAAAAGTTGTCATGGCAAGTACAGTGGCTTACCATGCTCACACTCATACATCATACAAGTCACACTCCATAATTGTTGTTAGTTTAATAAAAGTGAACAGTTTAAGTATTTGCCTTGAGCTAGAGAAATATGTAGCAAATAAAGGAGCTCGCTACCAAGCTGATGACCTTAGTCTAATTCTAGAACCCACATGGTGGAAGGAGAGAACTGACTTCTGCAAGTTGTCTTCTGACATTCATGAGTGCAATAGCATATGTGCACATACATTCATACACAAAATAAAAATTTTAAATATTTTTGTGTGCAAGCTTTTGTTTGGTATTAACATTCTTACTGATGAAGCATTAAAGTTTGATTTGAAAACAATGTGGTTGATTTAAGAGAGACCATTTATCCCCACTAAGCCTAAGGAATCCTATCGATTTTAGTTTTCTTTTGATGACCACTGTGCTTTCAGGAATAATTAGCAGTATTTAGTTACCTGTGGGTTGCTATCTTTGGGTAGGAATCCCAGTAGGTAATTCTTGATCAAAAAAACTTAGTCCTTGTGGTTTCCTGACCAAATAAACTACTAACTTGCCTGAGTTTCCTGATCCAAAACAAAATGAAAACCAAAGAATTTCTTAGGTCAAGAGGTAATGGTACAAGCCTTTAGTCCCAGCGCTTGAGAAACAGAGACAGGTAGATCTCTCAGTTTGAGGACAGCCTGGTCTGCAGAGCAAGTTCTAGGACAACCAAGGCTACATAAAGAAACCCTGTCTTGAAAAACCAAAAGAAAAAAAATTTAAGAGGAGCTTCTGCCTTCTGACCTTGTAATCAGTGTTTCTCTACATGGATGCAAAGGTAGAAGTGAGAGTGGGAGCAAATTTGGGAAGTGCTTGCTAGATTAGGGTTAGCATTTGGTTTTAGGATAACTTTCACAGATATATTGATGTAACTAATGTGTCTTACCTAGTACCAACTAGGAGAGGTCATATTTGAAATTAGCCCAAGACAAAAAATATTACATGTGGGAATGCCAGTAGAGTTCTATCAGGCCACAGTTTAACTTTGTCACTTTAATTTATAAACCCTATGTGTACATGAGGAGTTTGTGATTTAAAATTATTTCAGTTTGTACTTTTAAGTTTTTACACCTGCTTAACAAAACTGAGATTCTTCTCACCCTTGAAACAATGTATATGAGATTGAGAGTAAATTCCAATTGCTCTAAACTGTAGGCTGTGGACAGCTCCTGTGCTCTAGAGACAGCTCAGTGTACTGCACTTGCAGAAAAGTTTGGTTCTCAGCAACCATGTTAGGTGTCTCACAACTGCCTGTAACTCCAGCTTCAGGGGATCAGACACCCTCTGGTCTCAGCATGGGGCTGATCAAGACCCCCTGAATGGGGGTGTCAGTGAGGAGGCCTAGGCAAGCCATGGGGCCTTTGGTAGTTGACCAGTATTTATTCCTGGCATACAAATGGACATTGGGTGCCCATCCCACAATGAGAGATGCACTCTCACCCTAGACTCTTGGGGGAGGTTCTAGGCCCTGTCCTGGATGAAATGACAGACTATGGACACCCCCATGGAAGAACTCACCCTCCCTGGGGAAAGGAGGGGGTGGGAGGAAGGAAGGGAAAGGGAGAGGGATGTGAGATTGACATGTGAAGAAACCTTGTTTCTAATTTGAGTTTAAATTTAAAAATAAAAATTTTTAATAAAAAAAAAAAGGGTCTCACTATGTAGCACTGTTTGGCCTGAAACTCGCTGTGTAGAGCAGGCTGGCCTTGAACCCATAGAGATCCACTTGCTTCTGCATCCCACATGCTGGGATTAAAGGCATATGTCACTATGCTCCGCTAAAATTTTCTGTTTTGCATGTATTTGTCTATCTTGATGTGTATATAAAATACTTTGCACTGAAGTATGATAACTCTTAGGCAGCTGGAAAGACTTAAGAGAAGGATCAAAGCTAGGGAAAAACCAGTTCTTAAGCCACTGAAAAGAAAAATGAAAATGAAGTTACAATGGCAATAGCATATGGAAAAGGAAGTTTGGATAACTGCACATAAAGAATGGTATAACTATGGCCAACTATGGGACATCTCCTTTTGCTATACAAAGTATGAAACATATTTTTTAGGGCAGTGTTTTTCAACTTTGTGTAATAAATGCATTTTATATGAATTCGTGGATAAGAGTGCCTACTGTTCGTTAGAGGATCTGTGCTTGGTTCCTGGCATCCACACCAGGTGCCCATAACTACCTATAACTCCAGCTCGAGGGAATCCAACATCTTCTGACCTCCGCAATTCCTTCATTGGCATGCATTTACACACACAGAGACACATACATAAAATTTAAAGAAAAATTTATTTTACATTGTGTTTCAATGTACTCAATGGGAAAATCAGTCCTCCTGGGAACTCCTGCCTTCCTACATGTCTCGCTAATGTCTACACTTCAAAGGTAGAGGCAGGAGGATTAGAAATTCATGACTATCCCCACTAAATAATTACCTCACTAGATGTTTGAGGCCAGCCAATAATAAATGAGACATTTAAATGTTAAAAAAAAGAAAAAGTTTTACCAGAACTCTGGAGGTTGAGAAATAGCCGATATCTACCTTCAAAGAACAGCTGCCATTCAAACTCTCAAAGCTTTAGATGTGAGTCCTCCAAGAACAACATTTTACATGGAAAAGGAAAGGACCAATAGAGAACATGGAATTCTAACAGTAAGGAAGAAGTGTGTTTCTTTCAAAATTAATTCATATGAAGATATTTTCCACTGGGAAATGTCTCCAACCACTAGACAAAATAATGGGGCATTTATTGAGGTAATTTCTTATAGGAAATTTTTACCTCAGTGGAAATGCTGTTTCCAGCTTTCAGAACTAGGTTAACAAGGAAATTTTCATAAGGAACACCACAGCCAGGTAAACTCCTGTGATCCCAGAACCCTCCGAGGCTAAGGCCCCTAACTAGCTCTAGCCAGGTAAACTCCTGTGATCCCAGAACCCTCCGAGGCTAAGGCCCCTAACTAGCTCTAGCCAGGTAAACTCCTGTGATCCCAGAACCCTCCGAGGCTAAGGCCCCTAACTAGCTCTAGCCAATTAGAAATGTAATGATTGCCACTTGTTTGAACCAATCATATCTAAAATGACCTCATTGCCCTAGGACCTCCCCTTGGCTATGCTTAAAAAGAGTCTGTGAGCTCCTCTAGGAGTCTTCCTCATCTTGCCTTTGTGTGAGATTGGTGGACCCAGCATGCTTGAATTATAAACATTCTTGCTGATTGTATATGTGAATGGTGGTCTTTTGTGGAACTTCTCCAGGAGCCTAACACGGACAAGAGTAGTTTGATATAAACATCTGCCATCTCTGGAAGGCCCTAAAACTTGGTACTCATCACAATTCTCAATTCCTTTAACTTTACCTTGGAGAAGAATTGGAGAGCATCCAGGCACTCTCCTGGGATCTCACATAAATCAGTAACTGGAGGAAAGGCTGGGTGCATCATGCATTGGAGCAGCCCAGGATGACACCCCCACAGCCACCCATGCCTAAATTCCTTGTGGTTGGCTACCTATCCTTCCTGATGAGAATGGACTAAACGTGCCCCCCACCTCCATACTTGAAGCCTTCATTCGGGAAAGACCCACCTCTGACAACTGACTTGGAGGGGCAATGACCTAGATGAGACCCTGGGGACTCAAGCCTAGAGCAATACCCTAAGAAGGTCACCCCATCATGCACTGGTGTCCCTAGGTTCTATTCTAGGTTCTGTGCTAAGAGTGCCTTCTGACCATTTCTCCTTTACTTTATTTTCCTCATTTATTTGGAGGATTTTTGAGGCAGTCCCACTAAATAACCAAAGCCTGCCTCCACTTCCCTAGTATTCCTAGGGCTTAAAGACTTGAGCTATTAGCCGGGCGTTGGTGGCGCACGCCTTTAATCCCAGCACTTGGGAGGCAGAGGCAGGCGGATCTCTGTGAGTTCGAGGCCAGGCTGGACTACCAAGCGAGTTCCAGGACAGCCTCCAAAGCCACAGAGAAACCCTGTCTCGAAAAACCAAAAAAAAAAAAAAAAAAAAAAAAAAAAAGACGTGAGCTATTTCAAGATTTTCTCCTAATTTTAGGAAAACTAAGGATTCCACTCTTAAGGATTTCACCAAGCTTTAAACCATTCTAACTTGCTTAAGTCCTCCTTGAACTTTGGCAGGGGGTGCATTTCAAATTCTAGTATCTGATATTTCAGTGTTCATCGATACCCAAGATTCAGTAAGAATGCAGGCTGAGCAGACACAGAATGCTCTTGTTAAAAACTGCAGTTCCTGCGACCCTGGGCAAGCAGAGAACAAGAGGTGGTAACTCAGAAATGGCTCTGGGATTCTCCGAATTGAAGAAGATACCATGTTTCAGAAGGGAGCTCAGCACAGTCCAAAGCTAGGGAGGTGTTACCATCAGGCCTGGAATTATGAGAACCTGCCCTGCCCACTGATTCTTTTCCAAGGTAAAATTAAAGAAATTGCAAATTGTGGCAAGTATCAAGTTTTAGGGCCTTCTAGAAATTACAGATGTTTATGTCTAACTGTTCTTGTTGCTTCTCCTGCCCTTAATACCACCACCTGCTGATACCTCTACCTCAGGAGAGTTAGCCAGTGTGTGGAGGGGTTGCTGACCCCACCCTCCTAGTGAAGGTTGAAGTTGAGGCATAAATATGCCAGATTGTGTGGTCTGACCAGGGAAGAACAAATAATACATTTAGTGACAGGGAAAGCTTTTTCTCTATTAGATTTTCCATTCTTAAAACATGTAAATGCAAGTAATTGATTAGTATTTTATCTATCTGCTGTTAGATTAGGTGATGAACAACAACCCAGATAACCAAATTTCTAAGCACTTTTGCTGATAACACATTTAACATTTATCACAATTTTATGACTTTTTTGTTTGTTTGTTTGTTTGTTTGTTTGTTTGTTTTTGGAGACCGGATTTCTCTGTGTAATAGCTCTAGCTGCCTTGAAACTCAGCTCCGTAGACCAGGCTGGCCTCAAACTCATAGATCTGCCTGTCTCTGCCTCCTGAGTGCTAAGATTAAAGGCATGCACCACCACTGCCCCAACTAATTTCATGACTTTTTAAGATAGTATGTCACATGTAGGCAGACTAGCATGGCAATCCTACTACTCATGGCAATCCTCCTGCCTCAGCTTCCCAATCATTGAGATTATAAATGTGAGCCACCACACCCAGACTGTACTTTTTTCTTTAGGAAATATTGAACATTAACTGAAAAGGTTTAACTAGT